TATTGCAAAAGCGCTACAGTCGGAGATTTCTTTTCGTAAACTTAACCGAAAGCGTTACGAACGGACTTGGTCCTTTCATTGTCTGGAAAGGAAAATAGCTGTCGTTCCAAAACTTTAGTATCTTTGTAGTATCAGTAGATGGGTCGCCTTTACTTCCTAGTGTACCCGGTACTCATGAATCTGATGTTGGCATNTGTTTTAGTTTTGAAATAGTCAACATTATCTTCGTTATTATTCTAGAACCTTTAGAGTTATAGTTTAGCAATTTTAATAATTTTCTTATACTTCGAAATTGTCTAAATTCTTCTTCTTCTATTTAGAGTTATATTTTAATAATGCTATTGATAATTATTTTACTTTTGGAAATTGTCTGAACTTAACTTCTAAATGAGAGTAGTTAGAATTATATTTCAGTTAATAATACTGATAATTTAGTTTTAGCTTTATTGTTATGGATTAGAAGGAGACAATAATTTGAAAATTTCTGGAAATTAGATTCTTGTGATTTTTCTCGAACGGCAGGCTGAAACCATGATTATATGCTCGAAATCATTGCTACTATACGAGTTGTTAATTTTCTTTCTTTTTTGTTTGTTTGGTATAATTATATTTTATAAATAAAACACTTTAGCTACAGACAGTTGTAGGACTCCAAAGTCCGTTCTTTTTAAATGCTTGTGCCATTTTAGTTTTCTTTTAAATTATATCTTCTTTTTTTAATGTTAGTTTTAAGAAGTGCTTGGACTGCGTTAAAACTGCGATGTGCTCTAACGTAACTTCACCGTCGTTTACGACGATGGAAATTTGATGACGTTGTACTGTTCGATTTATTGACTTATTTTCGATTTTCGTTTTTTAAAAGCCCTTAAAGGTGCTTTTTTTCATTGGGTGTTTTTAAAAAGCGCTTAATTTTCCCTTTTTCAAAATGAGATTTTTCTTTTACTATGTTGATATTCGCTTCGAATAATGCAAAAAGACACAGTTCACATTGTTCTATTCAACGTTTTCACAATTAATTCAACCCCAATCTATTTCGGCGCATTGTCACTCCGTAGCTTATGACAACGCCATTCGTTTCACATGATTCAAAATTTCATGATTTTTGACAATTGTCAAAAACAATGCCAAAAGGATTTTNTTTTTTTTTTTTTTTTTTTTTTTTTTTTTTTTTTTGTCATGACGATTAAAACAAGATAAAACCGTCAATTACTTTCCAACTCTGCCTAATCATAATCTCTGCCTAATCAGGCTGAAAAATATTTTTTGAGTGCTTAAAAGGTGCTTTTTTTTTAATTATTTGGCTACCCACCCTGATTGATCAAAAGCCTAATCCTTGAAATGGAGATCTTTCTCTTATTTACAAAACATTTGTACGAACGAGTATGTCCGGTCACATAATGTATTGCAAAAGCGCTACAGTCGGAGATTTCTTTTCGTAAACTTAACCGAAAGCGTTACGAACGGACTTGGTCCTTTCATTGTCTGGAAAGGAAAATAGCTGTCGTTCCAAAACTTTAGTATCTTTGTAGTATCAGTAGATGGGTCGCCTTTACTTCCCAGTGTACCCGGTACTCATCAATCTGATGTTGGCATAAATCCTGTGCTTTATCAAGTCATGATAGTTTAGTGTTAGCTATAAAAGTAATATTTAGTTAATATATATATATATTAATATAATATAATAGTTAATATATAATATAATAGTTAATATATAATATAATAGTTAATATATAATATTTAATATTAGTAATAGTTAGTTATAAAAGTTAGAATATTTCTCAGACGATAGTAGAAAAAAATTGTAACATTTCATTTCCACTATAAATTAATTCTTAAATCATAATTTCATCTTTATTTATTTATTTTGAATAATAATTCATAATAACTTTTTTTGAAAATAATTTTGTGTCTATAAACTTAAATTTAAGCAAGACTTTGATTCGACTGTTTTCTTTATTTATCCCTCAAATTGTAATATACAGCTAAGTTATAAATATATGTGTATTAATTTTTTTTTCTTCATTTTTTTCGTAAAGAATATTTGGATTTCAAGTAGTATTTCCTCCCTATTTCTTCACAACTCCAAAACCAGCGTCTTCTCTTTTTCTAGTAATGTAGCGCCATCTGTATGAGAAGGATAAAAACACTCAAATCGAACTTGAATTAAGTGTGCTAATTCATTTATTTAGCTGCCGTGATTTATTTAATGTAAAATCTGTAATCATTTTCGGTGATTTTTTTTCCCAGCTGAATTTTCATTAAATAGTAATGTTTTACTAATAAAATTATTGCTAATGCAATGAAGATAGGAAAATTATTTTGGACTTCATATTTCGATTTACTGCATAAAACTAAGGGGTATTATTACTTTTATAAATTGCATTAATATTTATACACTATGTTATTGAACTTTTTTTATTCTTATTCAAGTAATCGAAGACAAGCTCTTCTCTTGCTCTCAACGTCGATTATCGAATCAAGACTCTTTAAATGTGATTCTTGTGCTCAACATTTTTCGCTTATCTGGAAAAAAGATTAATAAAATAAATAAATTGCCTCTTATCATCCTTTGCACTATTACTGCGTTGACACGTAGATTACACTGGAAATTCTCTTCTGGGATAATTTCATCTCTGAGGAGTACTCCCCCTCCTCACCATCATTCCCCCCTTCCTTCTGTTGTAGCCACCTACATTAACTTTTTCGGAAGATAAAAAAGTAAAAAAAAAAAACTAATCTTCTTTTTGGCAAAGATAAACAATGTTGCACTTAAAAAAAAAGATAGACATCTTGGATGAAGTGGTTGTTTACTTATCTGTCATAATAGATGAAAAGGAAAAGCAGCTTCGAATTAGTTGGCTTGAACTGTATTCAAATAGTGAATTGACCTAATGTATTAATTGTTTATGTTTTGCATGTTGCGTTAAGTACACCCCTTTTTCTTTTCTTTTTTTTATTTATTTTTGTACAGAAATGAAACAGGAAAAAACTAAAGACTTTATTTGTATAAGTATTTTTATTTTTAACCTTTTTACGGTTTAGTGTACTAGACCTGTTATCAGACCCTGCATGGAATATATTAGCGCAAAAATGGGCTTTTCGCGAAATTTTTCTTAGCAGAGTCAATCATGTCCTTAATTTGTAGTTTTAAAATTACTACTCCTTCAAAGACATGTGCCCAAATAAATAAATAAACATCTTTTCATTATTTAATCAGTTTTTCACAAAAAACAGACTTTTTTAAAAAAAAGTATAAAAAAAACATCTAGTTTTTGAGAATTTTCACAAAATCGGGATCGTATTCTCACTAATTCTCAAAATGAGTAGATTTTTCACAAAAACTTAGGAATAAACTTTGGATGCTTTGCGGAAAAATTTTCTTGGGGGGATTATGTGTATGCTAACACAATTATTTGCGAAATAAGTATTGCAGTAGCTATTAACTCTTTTCTGCTTTTTTTTCCTCTTTGTTTTTAATATATGATCAATTTTTAAAGCTTATAATCAAGCTAAATTAAATCGAAAGATTATTTCTCTTCCTTGTGTCAATATTTTGCCTAGTAAATATTTTGTTACATCAAACTATTTTGTTACAAAACTGTACGTATTTTTTAATTCGCAATAGTATTTTTAATTTGCTTTACAAAATATTTAAAGTAGCGTTTTTTTTTATTATTATTTTTTATTTTTTATAAATACAAACTTGGGTAAAATACATACTTCTCCTCAAAATTGTGATGGCATGTCTTCTGATTATCCTCAGGGATGTTTCCGAGACCGTCGCCAATAGCCCATTGTGCAGCTCTAGTACGACGTAATTTAACTACAACAATAACATATTGCTTTTTAATAGATTTTGTATTTCTTATTATTGGTCAGTTATTTAAATAATGTGTAATAAAAGGGAGCAGTTCGGAAAAATTAATTAAAATTATTTGCAGTACGGATATAGTGAACTCCCAGTTATAGTGAACCAAAATTTTGGTCCTTTGAAGGTTCACTATAGCGGGGTTCAACTGTATGTATATATATATCAAACTTTTTCACATAATTTTATCTCCTTAAGAGATAAATTTTATACACACCTTGTCGAATTGATAAAAATTATTTGAGATATAATGTTTCAACGTGCACATTAATTTGTAAATTTAGTATAGTTGTTTTAGCAATTCAACTGTCAATTTATTTATAAACGTTATACTTAAGAATTAATCTGTGTAAATTATAAATCAACATTCTATTATTATGATATTAATTTAAAGTGATGACAATATAACATTGACAGCTCCCAGAACTTNATATATAAATACAAACTTGGGTAAAATACACACTTCTCCTCAAAATTTTGATGGCATGTCTTCGGATCATCCTCAGGGATGTTTCCGAGACCGTCGCCAATAGCCCATTGTGCAGCTCTAGTACGGCGTAAATTAACTACAACAACAACATATTGCTTTTTAATAGATTTTGTATTTCTTATTATTGGTCATTTATTTAAATAATGTGTAATAAAAGGGAGCAGTTCGGAAAAATTAATTAAAATTATTTGCAGTACGGATATAGTGAACTCCCAGTTATAGTGAAGGTTCACTATAGCGGGGTTCAACTGTATGTATATATATATCAAACTTTTTCACATAATTTTATCTCCTTAAGAGATCAATTTTATACACACCTTGTCGAATTGATAAAAATTAATTGAGATATAATGTTTCAATGTGCACATTAATTTGTAAATTTAGTATAGTTGTTTTAGCAATTCGACTGTCAATTTATTTATAAACATTATACTAAGGAATTAATCTGTGTAAATTATAAATCAACATTCTATTATTAAGATATTAATTTAAAGTGATGACAATATAACAGTGACAGCTCCCAGAACTTGCGCAATAAAATGCATGTCTAATAATTTTTAAGTTTTTTCCTTTTAAGCCGTTGTGCTTAAAATTTCAGTGCATTCTTAGTTACAAAACTAATGTATGTATGTTTGTTGACAGCGCACTGTAAATAAGTATGATAAGAAGGAAACTGAAATTGATGGTGTCAGTACGGAAGATGCTGCTTCTAGACAGAACAACAGCAATAACACTGACCATCCTCCTGTTCTGGAAGAATCTGTGCCCCAATTGGACAAGAAGCCCAAGTCCAAGAAAAACAACACATTACCCAAAGTCAAAAAGAAAGATTTTGTTAACAATAAGGTAGGTAGATAGGTAGTTTTAATAATGTCCTTTATATTTGGTTTTGTACATCATTATAACAAAACAAAAAAGCATTATTCTCAACGGAAATTTGATTGCACCACCTATCAAACTTAATTTTCAAATAATTTATTTACTTCTTGTTTGACGTGAAACTATCCATGAAAGTTGTAATTAAGCTTCTTTTTTTATTTATTTATCCTTTCTAATATGCTTTTCTGTCTGTTACAGTCATGTTTTATGCAGTGAAAATGTTACGTACCACCAAAAAAAAAGATAATAGTTTTATATTGAATCATATAATATATTTTTTTTATGTATTATCATGAAGGTATAAATATGTGTAAATAATGGTGTAATGTCAAGTAATCTTAAACATTTTAATCACATTTTATAAAAATTTTCATTCAACAACATTTACAAAAAATTACGGACATTCACATTTTATAACCTCAATCCTCTTAAAACTTGTATGACAACATTTCACTAGAAAAGCAATTTTTCTTCACTTACGTATTTAATTCACATCTTTTGTGTTAAAATATATAATCTAAAATAACTGTAAAACCCACCATAAAAATCCAAATAACTAATTTTGAATAATAGTTGAATTGGAAAAAAAAAGGAACATTGATCATTATTGATATGTTTGTTATCAAGAATACAATAAACCATCTTTTACAACTTATTGCTGGAATTCTGTGCATAAATTCAAGTGCAATAATATCTAAATTCTTTCCACTCATGTGGTCATATTTGCTCATCTTGATGCCCTGGTATCTTGTTTCATTCATATGAATGCTGATTCCTTCGATAACATTATGAGCTCCTTATAACCTCTCAATAGTGCAAGGAAATGCATTTTGTCCTGAGTTGCCTCTCTTGACTACTACAATGTTTCCTGTTTTGTTTTATTCACTTTATTTATTTATTGTTTATTTTTTATTTTCATTTTTAACTACCATGATTTTTCTAGTTTTATTTTTTACCTTTATTTTTCATCTTTATGTTTTTTGTTTCCTCATTCACGTCTGGTGAGTTTTGAGAATGGGCACCTATTTATGAGCTCCAAAAACGTGTTGTCTTTTCTTGCCATTTTCACATTTTAAGCTAATAAAGTTTTTACATCATTACGTATATCTTTCCACTTCAGTTTCTTGGGATTTTAATTTGTTAGTTTCTATTTAAATTTGAATTCTCTTACTTTCAACTTTTAAAAATTTTTTTAGCATTAATTGTGTTTTTTTTTATGTGCTGAGTTAAAAACTAAGTAGTATATTTAGCTAAAAAAAATTTATGCAATAACTGTTATTTTTTAGGTACGGAATAACTTGAAAGATCCCTGTATAGGAAACGATGAGAACTCGAAACCCGGTGAAGAAATACTCGAGACTCCGCGTAGTACATCTAGGGACCAACTCAGTGATGTGAGTATTATAATTGTTCTACAAAAACATATCAAAACTGTCATCAATCAATATTTTCACTTTTAGAACATTCTTTACCACATAATGGTGAATGTTTCTTTTAAAGACTATACTTGTTTTCATAAGATGCATTGTATTTTTTCATAACTGATAAATTAATGTCTATTGAAAGTTTATTTTTCTCCTTTTATTAGAGGACTAAAAATATTTTGTTTTGCTGTGTAGAATGATTTAAAAAAAAGGATGCACCAAATATTTGACTATTTAAATAATTTCCTCTGTTATCATTTTAAGTTAGTCAATTTAGTCAAAAATGTTAAGAATAATGATTTATTCTCACATCATTATTATAAAACCTACACACTTATTTAAATTTTATTTTTTTAAACATAAACAGGATGGGCTTAGTACTAAAAATGCTTAACGTCTATTTATTTATTATAAAATAAAAACAAGTTTTCTGTTTCTTAGCATTTTTTACTTGTAGAACAGTTACATTTTTTTATTTGTTACTAATTGTTTTTCCTAGTACTTCTTTGTAATGTTTAAGATTTCTTTCAATGTAAAAACTAAACTCAGTAAAACAGCCCATAAAGGGGCCAAGACCTACTTTGCCCATCAATCCTTTTGTATTTTTTCAATATATCATCCTGAATATCCTTTGAAATTATTTAACAGAACTTTATTCTTTTCACAAAAACTTACAAATAATAATAAGATTAGACTTTTACTAATAATTAAATTTAATTGGTTTCAAAGTGACTTTTGCAGAGGTGCAAACGCTAATTGCAATTTTCTGCAATGAACCACAAGTCTTCAACTTGCTATCCCGTTCCCACCTAAGCCATTGCTTTGGAGAGTCCAAACATTTGTGTCTTCAACTTTTAATCTATCTCATTCCCACCAAAGCCATTGTTTTAGAGAGTCCTAACGTTTGTGTCTTCAACTTATAATCTATCTCATTCCTACCAAAGCCATTGCTTTAGAGAGTCCAAACTTTTGTGTCTTCAACAATTCATAAACTAAGAGATGTATTATAAAATATTTTATGATTAAAGTGGTTAACAAAAGAATAGTGGTAGAAAAGTATATATTCGATGTCACTAATAGATTTATCCAGCCACTATGAGCCTTTCTGTTTTAAAAATCAAAATCTTTTAATTATATATAATTCTGGGAATATTTTAAATAATTGAATGCTGAAATAATTGTTTTTATATATAATATTTCTGTTTTTAAAAAATTATCTAAAAATTTTTTTTTTTGAACTAAACCATGCTATTATTAAAATGACTTTAATCCCCTTAATGGGTTTATTTCTTATTCAATTTTTTTTTGATAATAATGTTCTTATTTATCTTGCTTTTGATTATTGATATTAATTATTATTTTATCAGTAGCATAGTGGTTAAGAAAGTAAAAAGCTTTTAAAACTTATGTAGTTTTTATTTACTCAGTTGTATCTAATTTAATCTAATGTAAAAGATTTTAATCCCTAATTAGTAATTTTATATATCCTTATAATGTAAAAATTTTCCGAGTAAAAGCTTTTTGAGTAATGAATGAGTAATACTGATCTCCATTTTTGTCATTATTTTAATGTTGAATTAATTTTGATTCATATGCTGAATGTATTGATTTGGTATTCTTTTTCATAACATCTTAACTTTTCTCTTATTAATGAGGAATATTTTTATTTTTTTAGGCAAGCAGTCATGCAAGTTTAGAAAGAGGCTATTTGGTAATTATATATAATTGTGTCATTTGAGAACATTAGTATTTACATTTAGTTATTGATTTCCTTTCTCTGCTCTTCTTAGATTTCTATTTGCATATTTGATTAGATGAAGAATTATTGTATTCAATATTTATGTTTACTGGAATAAAAAAATATTTCTAACATAATTAAATTTGAATCAATATCAGGATATTGATTTACTTTAGGTTCGTTTTTTAAACAATTATTTCAAGTCACAAATATTAAGAGTGCAAATTAAATTCAAAAAGAATGAAAATATTTCTACTAATTTTGGGGAAAATAAACATAAATAACTCCCTATTTCTCTCAAATGAAATGTCTGTTTTAACTAATTTAACGTCGTCATTGATTCCGCTAGACTTTAGAAACTGCAAGGTTCTTAAAATGCAGGACTTCCATATTTGTGGATCTATTTTTACTAAATGTGGTTCGGTCTCTATTAAAATATGACTTTTTTCCCTCTTTAAACAAGTATTAATATTCACATTTGTAATTATTCTATCTACTGATGAACAAAACAGAAAATTTTAAAATAAGTAGAGATATATTTGAATAGTCAAGGCTTTTAATTGCGAACTCCTCCATAAAGGAAAAGTAACTTTGATTAAGTTATAATTTAGAACTAATCTAATTTTCTTCTTTAGCTAATTATAGAGAGGAAAAAGAAAATTCTTTTATATATAATTTTGTCTACATAAATCTGCTGCTGCGCTATTTTTGCACTAGAAAATTATGCATCCCAGGTTACGTATCGTAACTTTTTTTTCTTCGGATTTTGTTAATGAAATCACTGGTACCTTAAATACACCACGGTTATGACTAACGATAGTAAAGCCTCACCTAATTATCTACCTTTCTCAGTTTTTGATCTTTTGCTGCAGTTACATTTTTTAGGAGACTTCCTAATAATATACAATGGTTTCCAATATGAATTATAAAAAATAGTTCCTGTTTTTTATAATCAAAGAGAGATGTGAGATTAAACTGCTCATCATTTTTAGAAGTGCTTAAGCATCTTTGAATTTATGTTGATCAATCTTTAAGATTAAAACAATTGGTATCAGTAATATTCAACTAGAAAAATATAATTTATTTAGTTTTATTGTTTTAAATTTTATAGAACAATCATTGTTTCACAATGATATTTTGTGTTTTAACATTATGTAGAAATTAAGAAACTGGAAGGAAACATAAATCATTAACTTTCAGTTTCTTTTATTATCATTGATCAAATCTATGTTTAAAATACTCATTTTTTGTGCATTGTTATTTTCTTGATATTTAATAAGAAAAGCATTATGTATGCACGTTTATTATTTTAATTGCGTTACATATTAATTAATTTTTTCTCTCTTCATTCTAGTGTGATAGTGAAAGTGGTGATGAAAGAGTGAGTTTCATTTTTTATTTAATAAGAATTAGTAATATGTTTTCTTAGAATTTTAGCTATTAATATATAAAAATGTATGAACCATTAAAACTAAATAAACTAAAAAATCAATAACAATTAAGAATAAAAATAATTAAGGAGCTCAAAGTAATTTTGAAGTTTTTAATGAGCCTAATTAAATAAAAGTTTTAAATAGATTTGGAAAGATCTTTATTTTCTCAGGGGCTGTTATAAAGTTTTTTATTTTATTTCTTCATGATTAATTTTATTATTACATTACTAATGACGATTATTTGTGGTATTGAAATAGCTCTAGACTCTTATTTTTTTTGTACCCATTGTTTCAGTTTTAATTTTATATCCTTGCACAATATTTTGCTTATGTTTTTACCACATCTTCAATATAAGTTTTAATTATGTAATAATTATTTATTTTCGTCTGAAAAGAAAAGTAAACCTAACTTTTAGTAAAAACTATTCAAAAGAATAAATTTAAATGTTTTAGTTTAGATGTGAGTACCAAGCATGTTTAGGAACTAAACACTGGGGGTTCCGTGTTCAACTGACCACCCAACCGGAACATCTGCTCCTGCACCCCAGAGTCCAAAGTCAAGATAATTGAGATGGTTGTCCTTGGCCCTCCATGGGCTGTCTGCCATTGAGTTTAGTTTAGATGAGCGATTTCATAATTCTTAATTTGAAATATGATTGGATTAAACTTGGATATTTAACTTTGATTTTATTCTTATATTTAATTTGATAATTGACAAAATAATAAATAATTATACCTATATATGGGTGATTTCGTTAATTTTATATTGAACAAAGGTATAATTGTTTAAGTTCCCTAATTATAATTTGAATGTTTGTAAGAAATTGTAAAAACCTAAGTGAAATTGTCTCCTCTAAATGTAAACAATGCATGTTAGAAACAGTCAGTTATTATTAAGTGTCAAACTGTTTTGCTGCTATTATTATTTATGCCTAAAATACAGGAGCTAAGCATTGATGTTTAGCAAGAAAAAATTACTAAACTTTTTTTGCAGAAACAAAATAAAATTTAGGAAAAATGTTGTAAAAATTTGAAACTGTTCTTAAAATAATGGAGCTTTAAATTTAAGGCAACCAAGAAATTGAGAGTTAATTAGTTATGCAACGGTAAATTTTTATTTTCCTTAAACCTCTGTTAACTTTTTTTAAGTAAAAAAATTAAGTAGACAATGCTATAATGTCACATACATCCATTACTATAATGTCACATATTTAATATAAAGTAATATTTATTGCAGTTATTAGTAAGTACAATTAAAGGGAAGCCAAAAGTTTCTATAACGGATTCTGCGGCAAGATGGTCATAAAAATTTTCGGTGATAACTAATTGTAGTGATAATTTTAAAAGAAATTTTATTAATTTTTTAAACACTTTAAAAGCACATCATTAAAAATTTTCCCACTAATATTGCATTAAAATTATTCAACATGGTTAAATTATTAATGCTTTTAAAAATGTATTTGACTGTTTTCAAAATCAAAATTATGAATTAAAGTTACTAAACATATTTGTTTCAAACTGGTAAATTCTGTTTCTTGTAATGGGAGGTATATTGACTTCTAAACCTTACTAATTTTTAGGGATCAGAACCTGAGTGTGATTTATTCAACAGTAAATTATCAGATAGTGAGTATTGTTTATACTGTTTTAAATGCTTTTGAAATTTTTGCAATTACACATATATATCATAAAGGAATAATTTTGTGATATAAAATTTATAATTTGGTTGTGTTAATAGAAATTTTTAATAATGTTTCTAATTTATTGCTGTTTTTATAAAATTTAATTAATATTTGTGTCCTTAGGTAATTTTATTGCCAAGAAAAACAATCCTGGTCATTCTCAAAACTGTCGGTCACCGCCCGTGTTACCACCTATTCATCCTGTTCTGAATGGAACTCACCACCCAGAGCCTTCAACTGCTGTGGCAGCTGTAACAGCCAGTGCCAGCCCAGCAAACACATCATCCACTATGGTTGTTGGGGCCACTAGTCCAAGAGAGCCTCAAATCGGCAGCCCTGCAGTCATTCCCGTTTCTTGTTCATCACCCGCCTCTCCTCCTTCCGGAGTTGTTCCTGTCTCTCCTCCCCCACTCTTCCTACGTAAGGGTCCTCCACCAGTAAATAAAGACAGTGCTTCCAGCAGCAAACTTTTAAGCAATGGTTATGAATTTGTGTCTGATACATCTCCCCCTTCACCTGTGGCTGCCTCAAAGCTGCTTTCTCCTAATAAATTCCTCAAGAGGGCGCCACCAGTGCCTTCCTGTAGGGACAGTGTAGCTACTTTGAATAAGCCAGCTATCAATGTGTATGATTTTGTATCTGACCATTCTGCCCCATCTTCTCCTGATGGAGTTGTGTATATATCTCAAAACAAATTTAACCATTCAAAGAGCATCTCTCCACCTGTAGTTACTTCTAATAAAGAATCTATACCTGTGGACAAAGCAACTGTCAGCAATGGCCATGCAACTAATCTTTGTGTGTCTTCAGCTTCACCCCCTGTGCTTTCAGCTCCCATTCTGCAAACTAATAGTCACAAAAGTGCTCTGGACATGAGTATTAAAGCCAATGCTACAGTGATTAAAACAGAACAACCACCACCTACAATCCTACCTCCTGCCGTATCCGGAGACCTTAGGCTTCAGGCTTCCCCTGGACAGTCTAGGTCTACGTATAGCATTCCATATTCTACCTCTCAGCCTATTCGCAAACATTCTGCTTCCCCTAGGATGTCACCACTCACAATACCGACATCCATGTCTTCACCTGCATTAAGTGGACCTTCTGTGCTGCCCATTTCACCTGCTGGAAATTCTTCTACAACTATGTCAATGAGGACTAATGTTTCATCAGCAATCACAATGACAAATTCTAGTACCTCGCATATGATTGCTGCTAGAAGTCGAAGTCCTGTCGTGACAGCCTCGCATCCGAATACACCGACCCCAGTTCCTGCCAGAGATACGCACAGTTCCCATAGTAACAGTAGTCTATCCAGTCTTAGTCAATTAAGCACGCCAGCTCATAAAGATAGGGAGGGTGGTGGAAGTCGCAGCCACAGCAATTCAAGCAATGTCGCGCCATCTGTCAGCGCTGCCTTAAATAGCACATCAGCATATTCTTCTGCGGGCAATTTATCAAGTTTAGTCTTTTCAAAACCTCAGTGTTGGAGTGGGTATGTAGTAGTATTTTTTACTTAATTTTCTCTTTATTTTCAATGAGAACCAAGAGATATTATACAATAAGATAATATCTCTTCGCATTAGTTGTGTTTTATTTATTTAATTATTTTTTGTTTATAATTAAAAGAAAAATTCAGGAAAAGTAGAATTTATGCATTGTATTAGTGATTAATTACTATTATTCATTTAAATATTTTGAGATATTTTTTTATTTTTAATTAAAGCACACTCTTACATGAAATACAAACAAAATATTTGAATTCTAAGCCCTGCAAACTTTGTAGTCTTGTTTAAGGACTACATAAGTGTTGCTAGAATAAAATAAAAAATCTATAGAGGAACATAACTTACACAAATTTTGCATAAAGCTCTGGCATAAATTGTCACTTAGGCTATTAAACATAGAAAAATATCAAGACATCTATCAATATTTTTTTTTCCTTTTTAAATTTAAAAAAAAAAAAAAAAATTATATAAATATGTTTCTGTTAATCATGCTAAATTGTTTTTAAAAAGCAAACAAAATTATGACATTACTTAAAAATTCTAATATTTAAATATTCTTTCAGGAATTCTTCCACAACTAATACTATATCAGCTTCAATATCCCGGTCATCTCCATCACCTCTACCCCCAAGAGTGTCACCGGCTCTCAGTAGCAGCGGAAGCACTAGCCTACCCTTGCCACCTACACTACCACCAGCTCATCATACTTCTCCCTTCAATAGTCATCCAGGTCCACCACCACCCCCTTTACTACCTGTTGCTTCTCATCATTCTATATTCCCAGGTTCCTTAACGCCTACACTACCTCTGGAGGCGACGGCTGGTCCATCGTCCTACAGAGCTTCTGAAACGCTGTTTCCACAGCATAGTGAGTATAAAAAACGTGAGTGAAATAGAGAGGTAGTAAAACCTTTTTATATATCATAAAAAAATAATTATGTTAATTGCTTTTTAGAATAGTTTTTATTTACTGAGTTACAAGTTTTAATAAGATTATTAAAAAATTTGTTTCATGACTGTAATAAGAGTCACGATAGCATAGGCAGTGAACTGTCATCGTGGGCTCCATCCCCACTTCAGTTCAATGATTATCAGCTTGCTGTAAAGTAATGCTCACTGGGAGGTAATGCTGACCATATTATTATCATCATACTTTTGGTCTTGAAATTTTAGAGCCATTACTTACATAATCTTCTCAGTCAACAAACAAGCTGCTTTACTTATTCTTGCATTCTCCAGCCATTTCATACACTTTCAGCTCTGATTTACGGTAATAGCTTTGCTGCGTTACTATACGAAATCTACGTTATTATACTAATATCAAAAGCCCAAGTTTAATGGTAGAATGCTGCGTGCTCGTAACTTTTTTAGTCCTTCTTACTCTTGTAATGAAATTTTATACCCCACAAAAACAAATTGAAAGATAAGACTTTCTGCATTTTAATTCTTATCTCCCTCTCTGCTGACCCTGCGAGCAGTCTTCACACTGTCCAAGCTCCTATCTTATGGTGTCCACCATGTGAAAATNGTAACATCATCAACATCCTTCTTGTTATTAAATATATTTTATGTTAAAGGCGTTTTGTAATGAATGAAACCCCGAGATCTGAAAGATCATATCACCGTATTTAATACCTATCTTATGGCGTCCACCATGTGAAAATGTAGCAACCACTAACAATTAGTAGTTTACAAATTAAATGGTGTATTACAATTCAATGATCGAATCATTCCTGCTTACTCACAACTATAGTAGGCAAGTATTTGAATGCTTTATCATGAATCTAAACTTTCCTGAGTCTGAAAAATCTTTCAACTAACAAGTCTGTGCCAAGTTAAAGCTATAAGAATCAAAGGCTGGGCTGCCCGTTTTAATTTAACTTTGTACTGAGGTTATTTAAATTCTAACTGTGAAACCTCATAGCATTTTCTAGTTATTTTATTTTATAACTGTCGTTTAAAAGCCGACCCAATTTTTGGGGTTTACGGCTATAGTTCAACTCCGTAGCCTTTCAATTTTGAATCCAATCCAGAAGGCTAAGGAACTCCTGGATCGAGTATTGGGAGAAATTTACCTTCGTGGAGGACTTATAGATGGAACTAACCCATATTTGCATAGCGTGGAAAGTTAAACCACGAAAACCTCCCATGATTAGCCTGGCGGTAAGGTGGCTCCAACTCGTGATCCATCTACCACTGAGGATATTTTACTTCAGCACTGTGGTCAGTGCAAGTCGGGTGCATAATCTGAATCGACAGGCCATTGCTGGGATTAGTACCCAGTTCACCTCATTGGAAGGCAGGCCCTCTATCCTCGTGGACTCTATTTTCTAGTGAGTGTGTGTTTAAATAAGAGAATAAAATTGTGTTTCTTTTTTTCAGTTCCTGACTATTTAAGAAGAGAATTGGATACAAGGTTTATGGCCTCTCAAGACCATTCCATTCCTATTCCTCCTCCTCCTTATATGCAAAGTGAAGTTCAGCATCCAAGCCAGATTCATCAGCAGGCAGGTCCTCCTTTCATTGCTCCTCCTCCACTGGGGGCTCCCATGGTTTCACAACAAGCTTCCCATCTGGTGAGTGACTTTTGATACAATGACTTTGTAATTCTGGTTCAGTTTTGTAAGCAGTTCATAAATTTGAGCATGCAATATTAAACTATGAAAATGTGGAATAAACAGATCTGCTTTTGTATCGTTCTGATTCTTACCTCTCAATATGATGTTGGGGTACTCTTAACATTACCTTTACTTTTTTTTGTATTTCATCTTATCAGTTGATATTAGGCTTCTGTATCCTACTGAGTGGAAATCCTTAAATGTCTTAGTCACTGTCTTAAATTAAATTTAGATGCTTTGTTTATAAGCAGTATTTTCTTTTTTACTTTAGATTTAAAATAAATTTTGAAGTTTAAAGCTACCTACTTTCTTATGTTTACTTTAAATTAAATTAATGATTTAATTTTGAAATTAAAATATTATAAATGTCGCTTAAACAAAAATTAAAACTTTTTTAATGAACGATTGAGAAATCTTAATGAATTTTTAGATGTGTCTTTAATATTTTGATGCTTGTCAGATTGCTGTAAGTGTCATTGAGTCATCTTTTATTTATTAGATTTTTTGAATATATTTTTCGTTTTCAAAATAACACATTTTATTGAAATTGCAATTTTATTAGCCAACGACAGGTAAAAATAGGATACTTATTACTTGTTTGGAATTTTAATTTTTTGCATACTAAATTTTCTGAATCAATTTAAACATATTTGGCTACTTTTATATAAAATTAGTATTGCTTTTTAATTGCTCTTTTATTTGTTTTACAATATTTTATAACTTATTTTTCTCTTATAGTATGAAAAGTATCCTAAACTTGAATCCTCTCTTTACCGCAGACCTTCAGTAAGTATTTGTGACCATTATGTGTTTATAATTTTATTTTTATGCTACATAAATCATATGTATACTTTCTCTTAGCTCTTATTTAATCGTTTACATGCCAATTTTCCGAAAAGGGAACATGATTTTCAGTTAGAATTTAATGAGCTATTAATGTCCAAATAATATTTTTCATACCTTTTAAAATTTACATTATAAAATATTTTTTGCGTTTAATTTTGTTCTGTTTCCATAATTATTTTATTTTTAAATAAATCTTAGATGTTTGATATATGTTTATTTTTATCCTGCTTGTAACATTATTTAGAATAAATCTGATTTACATAATATGACTACAATGCTTACAAGCTTTTAGAGGGATGATATAAACTAGTTCTTTGATTTACCATTTCTAAATTTAAATGGTTAAGAGATGTTTTAATACCAATATTCAGATTTAAGAATAGAGAGAAGAATTGGAGTTCATGGTAGAGTTCCTTTAAGTTCACATTTTTGTTTTATCTTTTTTCTATTGCTGCTTTTAACTAAACATAGTTTCCTAAGGAGGTTTTCTAGTTCTCGTTTTGTAGTTAGATGAAAGTAAACTAATATACCCATATCCTACTCAAACAAAACTTTGGTACTTAACTGTTATAAATTTTGTTAATAATGTATTAGCTATCTTTGATATGAACTAAAAGTGCTTATGTTCATTAATTTGTCTTAAACATTTTTCAAAAAGTATTTCTTTTAAAACTAACATAATTTTCCTAAATAATGTATTGTTTTAAATATTTATTCTCGCTTTTTAACAGCATAAATTTGTTTCGATTATATTGTTTTTACTGTTGCATTTGCATGCTCTTGAAAAAATGATTGGAGGAAATAAAAATCATTGTAAACAAAAAATTTGTTGATATATTTATATTTTTTTTTAATTTCAGTAAATTTTATTTTCTTCTTTATTTTTTATTTTAAAAAAACAGTGAATTTTTTTATTCTAATTTATTTTACTATTATCCTTCTCTTTGAAAAATAGTTAAATATCAGTGGCACCATATCAAAAATTTGTAATCACTTTCAAAATTGACAAATTATTGCATTTGTTGCGGTACTAGCTATATATGCTTGTACAATTTCTCTGTGGCTTGATGCATTGGTGTAAAGAAAGGTTGTTTTTTTCCCCACCAACAAAATTAACGAAATTTAAAATGTAATGGAATAGGTGAGAAATCATTCGTTTATATTATATTTATATTATTTTTAAAGTACTAATTGGAATATTTTTATGAAGAATTTAAAAATTTCATTCCTAAAATTTTAAAAGATCCCATAGTTTGTTCTTGCAGATAGTACATGTTTATATTTACTGTATTATAACTTATGTTTATTAAAGAGTAAAACGTTAAATTTTAGATTGGTCTATCAAATTATCCTCCTGTGTCTTCATTGTTTGCTCCTGGTGGAGGTGGTACATCTACTCCATTTGTTCCTCCAGCCCATTTATCAGCTCTTCAGCCAAAGGTACACTTTGTTATTAATATCTTTACTTACTTTGAAAATTAAAAATGTTTAGTATTTACAATTCAAATGTGTTATAAATTAAAGCTGATAACTATGTAACTTCTGTCAAGACTAAAATATGTTGTGTTTTATAATTATGTCAAAAAAGTCACAATCGTTAACATTTCTCATTATTAATTAAAAATCAAATAATTTCGAACATTTGATAACTGTATACTTGCTATGTTTGAAACTTTAAATGAATTCATCATTGCTTGAAAAATATTATCAGGAGCAAATTAATTTATTTAAAATTTCTTTTTAAAATATTGGAAGTAATCAATATTGTATAGTCTATAACTTGAAATGATGATCAATCTTCACCTTACATATTACAGTTAAATTACTGAATTTATTTTGCACTTTCCTTATTTCTTATTTTTTTACAATTAACATAAATGGAATTTATTTACAATAAGTATTTTTGTTTTCAGATCAATCCTGTATCAAAAACAAAGAGCACAGTAAGTGTAACTGACTTATTCTGTTGCATTGTAAGGGAGAAAATTTTGATAAATTCTTTTTGATGATTACTTTAAATTTAAGCATTTTTATATCAATTTATATACCTGACTGTGTGTTGCTAAGCTATCACATTATTTTATTTTAAATAAAAAAAAATTCTGAATGATTTCATAGACATTTTGATACAGAAATGTGTAGTTTTATTTAACGTTTTTACTGGTTTTATTTTACAGAAATGTAATGTTTGGTCTCTGTGATATTATTTTTAAGAAATATAATGAATGTATCTTTCCACGTGTAGTTTAGTTACTTAGGAAAAATTTCATTGCAGCTTTCCGTTTTTTTTTAAACATAAAAACTTATAATTTTTATTCCATGTCTTATTTTGGTTAATTCTTTTTATATTTCGTAAATCATTTTTCTGGCAATTTTGTAGAATTTAAGGCTGGTTACTAAAAAGTTTTCTATCTTGCTATAAACAAATTGTGGTCTCTACCTTCATACATTCTAAAGCGGAAAAAATGCAGATTCTCCAGCGTGTGCTTTTTAGAATATAAAATGGTCGGAAATACAATTTGCTTATAGTCACAAACTTGCGCCGGGGCTCTTGACGTTAATGAAGACTTTATAACATGCAGCCTGAATAAATTCATAAAGAACATTGATAATTTTAATGTAGGTATGCAAGGGGAAGAATAATTTTTTTGACATGATAAGGTTTTCCAGGCATCAGAGTTCAAGCTATTGAGTGTTTATATTTATCTGTTACTCATATAAAGTTTCTGTAATCTTTAACATTAGAATACAACTGCATATAGCAATAACATAATACCTTCAATTTTTTAAATAATTTGTAGTTCAATTATCATCTTGGCAGCAATATTAATGATAATGTTTGATATAATGATCTCAAAACTAAATAGTATTTTTATATACACACTCCTAGTCATGCATTTGGAAGGAAAATAATTTCATAAGTGATGTTTTATAATGTAAAAATGTTATGATCAATTGATCATGTATAAATGTTCGATGTTTATTTTATATAAATGTAAAATAGCATACGCATATATTTGTATAACTTTTATACACAATTATTTAAAATGTTTAATTATATCGCTGTTATTATAAAATTAAGATTGCTTTAAATATAATATTGACTTTATTCACTTAAGTGTATGTTTTTTCAGAAGCCTGGAAAGTGGTGTGCCATGCATGTCCGGATAGCATGGGAGATCTACAATCACCAGCAGAAGCAAAAGCAGGCTGAAGCCCATAAAGCCGGCATTGCTTTGGCGACCGTGAATCCTCCCTCTGACCGCATCCATGCTGCTAACCACCTCTTCTGTTCTATGCCTCGAAATCATGAGCTTTCACCTTTCTCTTCTTCCTTACTTACTGCCGCAGCAGGTAATCATTGTTCTCATTGCTTATGTTACAGCAAATATCTAATTTTACCACCATTGCATTTTTGGAAATAGACTATTTTTGAATTTGTATTACTTAAGGAGCTTTTTTGAATGTTTATGATACCTAAATATAACTAAAGCTAGTTTTCTTCCTTTTTATTCTGTGTGAGAGATGTATTTCGGGGAGAAATTTTTGTATAAGCTTGCTCCAATGCAAAATGCTTATTTTTTTCTAAGGTGTGTTTAACAGAATATGTAGTATTGATGCTTGTATAGTCTTAAAGAATTTTAGTTTTATGTATGAAATTTGAAATTATTACTGTTTTTTCCAGATTTCTTTAACCTACAAATAATAACGTTGGAGTTGGGAAATTTTTCTTCTGCATAAAAATAACATTTATGACAATTTCTTCCATAATCATAGTAGGGAACTTGCTTTTCATTTTGCCCTAATTACAAATTTCTTGAAAGCTTTCTTGTACATGCATTTTACTAAATTTTTAAATGATATTTTAGAAAAATATTAGAACTAGGTTCTTATTAGTCTTATGGAATTTTTTTTTCTGGCGTATACTTTAAACTGTTATTCTAAGTCATCTTCAAAATACAGGGCACAGGTCTTGAATGCTCTCTTATAAACCAGTTTTTGAATCTTATTGCAGTATGATTCAGTGGTGAAAGGGTGCATTAATTGAAGAAACCAGATTTAGTAACAAACAATTTTAATAATAAAAAAAAATCCATATGATACGAAATGGGGCTCACCAATGAGCCATCCAGTTCAATCCATTGTCTGCCACATAAGTGATTACAGAATTATTGTGAGTGATTACAATGTCCTCTTCTGGTCAGGCAGAAATTCTTAACATCTTCATATCCTGCATATATTTTCGTACTTTATCCTTTAATATTGCCTGCATGCATAAAATGTACTTTTTTGAAAATCATTTGTGAAAACCAGGGCTCGAAAAAACTCAGAAATTTTACCCGGGGACGGCTTGTCCAACAATGTACCCATCCTCCTTTGAAACTAACCCGCAGCTTCTAAGTAAATAAAAATATAATTTTCTCTTATTTATTACAAACATTTATATTAATTGCACAACGAATTAGTAGTTAAAAGGATACAATGATTTACAGAAGTTCATGCACAGAAATCTGAAAGGGGTTTTCCATTTCGGTAGATGTTCATAATTGCATTTAGCGCTTCTTGACACAACAATTAACGGGTGAATTGCTCGTCACGAACAATTAACTGGAAAATAGCCATATGCCCGGACGTCGGATTCGAGAAATTTGGTGTCCGTGTGGAATTTTTGACCTCTGAGGACGATTTTCAATTGTGAAACTCTTTTGTTCTAGACTTGTAACTCAAAACATCCTCTCCCGTTTTTCTGCCTCAGGAAACATAATTTTATCATTATCATACTGATGTTAACAATTGAAAAAAAAAACTTTTTTCTGACATTTATTGGCTATTTTCTTTTAATTAAGACAAAAAAAATTATCTAATCTATTTATAAAGTTTTTCAATGCAACATGTTTGATCCAAAATTAAATATTTTGTAATCTTATTTTTGTTTATATTTTCTTTTAGCATCAGCTCACCCAAGATCATTTGAAGCATCAGCTCATCATTCCACATTCCTAAATCCCACACCTGCTCATTTAGGTATTAACTTATTATCCCATTTATTTTTATGCACTTTTTACTTGTTTGCTGGATTTAAGAATTGAAAACACTATCTTAATATTTTAAAATGCTTGCTCTTGGCATACAACTAGAAATGTGAGGAAAAAAGCCACATCTGTCAAAAACTTTGTTTTAAGTTTGTAGTAAATCTATAACATTAACCAATGTAACAAAAAAAAATAATAATTATTGAATTTAAGAATTATAATGTCTTTTTTTTTATTGAAATTGTACAGACATGATGCCTTTCTGCTATTTATTTAATTCCTCTTTTCGTATAATTGTATATGAATCAAATTGAATCTTTGTATTATTAACTTTCGATAAATAAAAATTAGTTTGGTATTATTTTTAATTTTAATTAATGGAACATGATTCTTTTTTAAAAAATGTGATTATTTTTTATTATACATAATTATTTTAACTTAGAAATTGTTCTTCACTTCGAAAAATTTGACATCCAAGATTTATTAATCTGATTTTGTTTTTTAATAAGGATTTATTTTGCTGATTAAGTTCTATTTTTTTAGTTTTTGCTTTACTTTTTTTATTTTTTGTAAATCATATAAAAAATTCTTTTCTTACTTTCTGTCATTCTTTTTTTTGTTGATTTTTTAGACATTTAGGGCATTACTTATAATTTGTTGTAAATTTTGATTGATCAAAACTAGGTATGTAAGGATTATTTGGCCACCATTTAGTATTCTGCCCTTTTGCTGAATATTTTGTCAATTTTTCTCCGAATATTTGGCTATTCGGCCGAATCACTATTCATTACATCCCTGCTCAAAACCTAGGAAAGTTTTAACTTCAAGAAACTTTCAAAGAGAGAACTTTCAAAATCTTACGACTTTATACTAGCTTTTATAAAGATAAAAGTACTTTCATTAAATGTAATATTTTAAACATTTAATTCCATCTAATGATTTAATCTTATTACTCACAAAATTATATTTTTTCCAATATTGTTAAACTCATTGCATACTTTTTAAAAAGAAATCTTTGTCCAAAACATCCCAATTAAAAAAAAAAAAAAAAAATCTTTGCAATTACTATTTTCTTTATATCTTTCAGTACTTCTCTTCAGCAAAATACACCTTATCGGGTAAATATAAAGCTCATTGTTGACTTCAGAATTGAAAGTATTGATTATTTCTTCTTTTTTAGGTCCTTTTGCCAGACCTGGTTATCCTAGTTTTGCTGGAGCAGCTCCAGGATTTAGTGGCTTAGGTCCTCTGGGTATGCTTTGATTTATTTAAATTTTCCCTTTTTTTATTTTAAGAAATCTATAATGACTTAAGAGATCTGGCTTGAGAAAACATAAATCTTTGCAAGATTGAGACAAATATATTTCAGCATTTTGCAACCACAATAAAACTCTTTATTAGTTGAATTGAGTAAATAAGAAATCTAGTATAAATGATAAATTTTTAAGTTTCCATGTTCTACAATTACTTAATTCTAAAGTTTTATACATAAAATCTCATCTTTAAAAATTCATAGTTAGTTTTACATGTAGCCATTTTAATACTATATTTCGAAACAAATACAGTGAACTCTCACTTATGCACCGGTGCAAGGGGCCAAGAGAAAAAAGCGTATAAGTGAAACAGGCGCATGAGTGAAAAACTTCAAAATTCTAAAACACAACGTAAATTGCAGTGACAATATGAATAAATATGTTTCTAAAGATTAAATGTTAATATTTATACTGTTTTGGTATTTACTATAATTATACAAAGAAAAAATTTAACGTACCTTAAGACAATTAAAATAATCTTAATACATGTTTGTATTTGTTTTTGCCGATGTATTTCAAAAACAGTTTTTTCCAGTTCATATAAATGGGATAAGGGGGAGTTTCAGAAGCAAAAGTAAATTGTAAATAGTCAGGAATAGTGTCTAAAGTTTTCAATACTGCTGTGTGATTTGGAGGAACTTCATCATCTCGTCAGTAGCTTTCACCACCTTCTCATCGTCCACAAGTTTCAGTCAGATATAAATGAACAGTCCTTCACAAAAAATTTGAGTTTTATGGGAGGCGGTGGAACATCACATGATAAATTTCTAAGAAAAGTACTTGACGTCATAATATGCTGCACAATAAGTTGTTCAAGTACGTCCGTCACTAAATAGATCACCTCCTTTCATTTACTCATAATGTCCATCTGACTGCAAGTAAGTGATCGCGGTCTCTTTCATCTTTCGTATTCCAGGTGTCTTTTTTTTCTAGAAAACAGCATGGGAGTAAAACTAACCTCTGGACAAGAGGAATGGTCATTTTCTAAAAGCTGAATGGGCTTTCATTGTTGTTGGTGAAACTGATAAGACACCCTATTCTAAATTTTAGATGGAATGTCTTTCCAGAAACAGCAGAAATGAAAAGGTCATAGGGGGACGCAAATTCAATAGGATCTAATAACATATATTTCTTCTTATCTGTAACAAGGATTGCTTATTTGCTTCATTTTTAATTTAAAACATTTTTTTTTAAAAAGAAGAAATATTTAAAGGATTAAAAAATTAAAATGCCAACCTGAAATTTCGGCGCATAATTGAAAAATTTATTTTTAGAGCGACGCATAAACGAAGGATGTTTATCATTATTTTCCTATCTAATGTACTGGGACCTATAAAAATCGTCGTATAAATGAAAAAGGCGCATAAAAGAGGCGGTGCATAAGTGAGAGGTCACTGTAATTTCACAATTTTGTCATTTCTTAAGGGTTTTTACCCTATCAAATCATATATGTTTTTTGATTAAAACATTCTCCGATGATTTTATAACAAAGCTATGATTGAATATTAGAAAATATTTGCGTTGAAGTAGTTTTTACGTCTACTTATAGCAAATACAAACATTTCTACACATAGTAGTAGCAGTAAACCATTATGCTATACTCTATAGCTGGAATCAGATGATTTGTCATTTTTATTTCAATCCATCTGCAGATGAAGAATTAATATGTGTAATACTCCTTTTTAAATTCTTCATTGCACTTGATGGCAGGACCATGTCAATCTGTATTTCATTGTATATTATATATCTGTATATTTTGAATTGATAAAACTCATACTCTAATTCACAACTTTTCAATAAAATTTGGATAACTTCTCAATTCAACAAGAAATAATAAAATTGTATCTTTATTCAACATGAGTTATTTTTTGTACGCAACTGACAACTGTTATTATTTAACTTGTTATGTACATTTGATTTAGATTTGTACTAAACTTCCCTATACTTATTCTAATGAATGTATAAAACTTGTAGGTATTCCTGGACCCTCTATGCTTGGTGCAGACTTACGAACAACGTGTTTAACAACTCAAGATCCTTGGGGACAACGCACAACACTTCCTTTCCCTGGTGGCACTCCGTGGGGCGGCCTGAAAGAGGAAGCAGAACGAGAGCGTTTGCAGCAAGAGCGTAAAAGGGAAGAGGAAAGACAGAAGAGGGCTGAGCAGGAAAGGAGAGAGAAAGAAGAAAGGTTACCATCAGTCTTATTTTTATCACTGATAAATATATTTACATAGTGATTATAAATCATTCACTGTCTTTGTCCATTTACTGTTGCCAAATAGTTTAATCTTTAAATTTTAAATTAAAAAATTAGCATTTTAATTAATGGATTATGAAATGCAGTATTTAATTCTCCGAAACTGATTCCAATCCTACATCTTGAATCTGTTATCAGGCTGTATCTATAATACGTTTAATGTGGAATATATCTTGACTAATATTTACTACAAAGCTGCAGGCGACTAAAATGTGACTATTTGCAACTATTTTTGGCCCGGAGTGACTGTGGAAACTTTTTCTGCCTCTAAAAAGGCTGAAAAAGCAACTATTTCGGGAAAAGGAGACTATTAGGAAACTTTTCTGTGCTCCTAGCAATGATTCTTAGCATAAATTGGGTTGATAACCTGCCGTTTGCGGGAGCTTCTACAAACAATGAATCTTTTTTTCTTTAAGAATAAAAAATTTTGAATTGCAAATTTGAGTCATCACTTTTTAATGCACTCAATTAGCACAGATTCCATTGTCGGTCTATTTTGTTTCTCGATCGCCTTTCAATGGTTATTGCTGCGAAATTCTACAGGATTTTTAAAAACCCAATCTTTAGTACGATATGTGAATTTCAAATTTGAATAATCACTTTTCCCAATATATATATATATGTATATATTAATTTTTTCTAAATCAATGGTTTTTTTAGAAAAATATGTTTTTTAATATAGAGTATTTTTTTTGAACAAATTCTATTAATTAAAAGTAATCTTTATACTAATTGTTTTGATATAAAAATTATCATATTTGCCCCCAGCTTCACTAAATGGATCATGGTATATGACAATTAAATAATTTAATAAAATTTTAGACATATTTCTGAAAAAATTTTTGTTCTTATTAAGACAACTAAAAGCAACTATTTTGTTCATTTTTTTTTTCTGTGGCAACCATGAGCCATTTATTGATACATATTTCCATGGAAAAATTCCTCATCCCATTATCAATAGCCAATTTTATTTTATTTTATAAACAGCATTTAACAGCCGACCCAATTCTGAGTTTACAACTATCAATGTTCGACTCTGTAGCCTCATAATCAAAAACCTCCTACAGTTAGCCTGATGGCCAGACGATTCTAATCCATGTTCCCTCTACCACTGAGATATTTTTATGTCGACACACTGACTGGTGCCAGAAGCAGACTTTGATTCGACCATCCAACTCTTGAATCAAACGTAAAACCTGAACCAGTACATTATTGATCATGAAGAAAATGTTAGTATTTAGTCTATGACTTGGCCATATATGCAGAGACATCCATTTAATGTAACTACAACAAAGGTTTTGATAAGAATAAATAACAGAGAACAAAGATTTATTTCACATATAGAATTGAGATTGTATATTTTCGATTGTTCATATATTTAATTAGACATCTTAATTTTGAACATGAAACTTTTTGAATTTATTATTTAACAATGAAGTTAAAACAAATTAAAGTCACTTTTCTTCATTAATTCCTTATTTTTAGTAAAAGTGTAGAAAAACCTCTATTTTCTTTCACTTTTATTAACAAAGAAAAAACGTAGTTTTAAATAGAGAACTTAATAAAATAAGCCCCTCTTTTTGATCAGATTAAAAAAAAAACTTTACTGTACTTTTTACACTAAATTTTACCAGTTTTCTCATCATTCAAATAGTGGTTAGCTTCTTGATATTGATAACATTCTATTTTAATAAAGTGTTAATCAAAGCAACAAAGTTTACAAATGTATAAGCTTATTGTCTATCACAATGTTAAACTTTAACTTTCCAAAATTTGATTCTTGAAGAGAGATTAATATTTTTTTTAATTAACATTGTTCGCTAATATAAATACTTAGATATTGAAATTTAAATCTAGACCTGTTCATTAGTCATGAAAATAATTTTAGCAATAAGCATGTTAGTATTTTGAAAATGATATGATTATTACATGCTCTAAATTTTTATCTTGTTATTATAGGGATCGTAGGGAGCAAGAACGAAGAGAGCAAGAGAGAAGAGAATTGTTAGAAAGGCAAGAACAAGAAAGGAAAGAAAGAGAACGCAAAGAGAAAGAAAGACGAGAGCATGAAAGAAGGGAAATGGAAAGACGAGAGATGGAAAGAAGAGAACATGAAAGACGTGAGCTTGAAAGAAGAGAACATGAACGGCAGAAAGAAAGGTTAGGATGGAATTATTTGTGCCATAAATAGTGCATACTTAATTGTGTTAATTATTTAGATATGTTGATTTGTAATTACACTTATTTATTGGCTTAAAGTAAATTTAACTTTGTAAAAATCATAATCTGTAAATCATAATCCATAATGTTCTTGGTTTCTCGAAAAAAATCGCAAAATGGAAGTCCGTTTAATAGAAGTCTGACTGTTTAAACTTGGGTTAATTTTAATATACATTATTTCCCGATGAAATTTTCAATATGTGATCAAATCAACATTTGCACTTAGACAGCTTCCAACTAATTTTAAGTTTTTACTACCATCCATTAAATATCAATAATTATTTTGTTATCATGGCATTGATAATAAGCTTTACTCATTTATAAAGATATTTAACATTTTCTATCAGGTTGTTACAGTTTTTTTCATAGTCCAATGGCATTTGTCACAAATTTAGTACTATTGTACCATTAAAATTGAAGAATTATCCACATTCTTTCCTAAATTTCTTTGATAAATAGTTAAACATATAAAATATTGCCTTTCATTTTACCCAGCTTACTCTTAAATCCCTAAAGCTTCTTGTTTGCCCCAGTGACAAGCAATTTATTTTTAGAAATAACTTTGAAGGAAATTCTTAATTGTAGAATTGTGAAGGAACATTCAAGTGAAATTTTAGTAAATATGTCTAAACTTAATTTAAAGTTGACCATACGGAAGGGAAAAAAAGATAATGCTTTGTCTTTATTTCTTGTGTTTAAACTACCAAATGCCAAAATCTATTTTTACACTCTTACCATTTTAATTTGATGCTAAAAGACATATTTTCTAAAATTACAAGTCAACTTGTTGCTGAATTGCTTGGTAGCTACTTCCTCTCCAAAAACAATCATACTGTCACTTACTGCCTTCATGTACAGAGAAGAGAACTTGTAACCTTCAGTCAGTTGACGGCATAAAATCTGTCGATCTACAACCATTATAAACCAAGTTCTTGCGTTTGTTTATATTTAGGATCATCTGTTTGGAAAATTGCATGATCTGTCACCAGGAAAAAACTATTTAATGCAGTGTCATATCGTGTCGTAGATTAAAATTTGCTTTTGTTTTAAAATTGGAGACAATCATAATAGCAGGATGTGAAATTTCTACTCGTCACTAGCGATTGAATATTTAGGGATGGCTTGTAAATTTTGTTAATCAAAATTTTGTGTTTGTATGCTATAGGTGTTGGTTGAAATGTCACAATAGACTGAAAACAGTATACCAAATCTGTTTGAAGACTTGAGGATTTGCTTAGAATTTTTATAAATGCCCCCCTCAACAGAAATTGAAAGTTAGACTGCAATTGACAAAAGGCATTTTAGTGTGACAAAACATCAATTTGTAAACATAAAGTATTAAAAGTTTGGGAACATTTCTGATATTTTTCTTATGCTAATGATAAGTGGATGACAATCGATGACACTGTAGAACTTTATGCCAACCTTATTTTAAGTCATTATTATTATTTCAAAATAAATATGATTCAATTTTTCAGCTTCTACATTCCTTTGTGGTTTTGGTCACACACACACACAAAAAAAAAAAAATTCATTGCTTTACATCTGTAAAAAATTTCAAAAATTGTTCATATTTTTCATGAAAATAGTGACGAGCTAAAATTTTAGTCTGGTTAGTACCTTTAGAATTAAAGTTAGATAGTGTTGGCCTTGTTATCAAATGAGAATTGTCTGCATATAACTGCAGCAATTGAATGCTGCAATATACTTGACAAAATTAGTAAACTATTCAAACACATTATTGCTGTAATAATCACTTTTTTTAAAAAAAAAATCTATTATCAATAAAGAATTTTATGGCATGTCTATGCCCTTACTTGTTACAGATCATTCAGTTGCTCTTCTATAGTGACTTAAAAACTATATTTTTGTGTGAAATCCATATAAAATATCCTTTTCTTTATTTTAGGGATAGAGAACTCAGGCTGCAACATCATTTACAGAAAAGTTCCATAGTCATGAATGGTGAAATCAGGGATCATCATCTTCATCACTCTCAGCATCATCAACATCACTCTCATCATCATGCAATGTCACGCGAATGGGAAAGAGCAAGGGACTCTCGAGATCTTCCCAGGTCTCCTATTATGCCGCCTAATCATCCTATAAAATATGAAGGGGCCTTAGAAAGGCATGTGTACCCACAGCATCCCCAGCGAATGGAAGTGAAAATAAAACAGGAGAGGAAAGATGATGAACCTGTTCCTGTCTCCAGAAGTTCGAGAATGCCTGGGGATGACAGAATGCGCAAAAGGCCTGGAAGCATTCCTCAGTCTGATGCATCAGATCCAGTGTCTCTGGTCTCTTCAAGAAGTGTTATGCACAATTCAGTGCCTCTAGGTTTGAATTCTCTGGATCCCTCACGGGTGATGGGTCCTCATGGCCTAGTACCGTCACCTGCAAAGGATCCTCTGGCGCATCATTCACAGACATCTCCTCTGTGGGGGCCTTTGACGCCAAGTCCAACTGTCACAACAATACCAAGTGCTGCTGTCGATCACTACAGGACTCGGGAAATCCTTCAAGGTCGATCTGAACACGATGTTCGTAGGTTTGAACAACTTGTGATGTCTCCTAGGGATGCTGCTAACAGTGAACTTTCCCGGCAACTGTCAAATGTGTTAGACATGGAGCGAGCTGCTGCTCAGGCAGCATACGATCGCTCGAAGTTACTCCCACCACCATTAAGGACAAACGAATCTCCCTATGCAACACCTCCTACGTTGCCTCCGGCTTCAGCATCTAGTTTCTTTTCCCCTCCAGTTAGTCCGTTCCTCAACAGTTTATGCAGCACATCTGGCAGGACGAAAGCTGGTCCTCCAGGTGTGCTGAATGGACTTCCTCCTCCTCTAATACCCTGTACTTTCCCTGTTCAAAATCATACAGGTTTTCCCACCACAAGAACTTCATCTCCTATGTCAGCTCATAAACTGATTCCTGGAGCTGGCGTGCTGAACTTGCCAGAGTCCTTCTTTGCCAAAGACAGGCGAGAAGTAAATGGACATCCAACAGACTTTGATGCACATTTAAGGTTATGACAGATGTGAAGAAGCTGGGGGACCTAGCTAGATATATATATATATAAATAAGGTTGTGTACATAAACTTCTTCTTGTATATGTAAAAAAGATACGCACTGATAGAGTACTTTTCTTGACAAACCATGCATCATGTCTCCAGAGAATTTTATTAGGCATAATTTATATTTTGGTGTTATGTTTGTTATGTGATAAAATTTTTGCAAGAATCATTGTGGCTGAGCAAATCGGGCTTTCGTAATAATGTCATTTGCTGGTTGGCGAAAAAAAAAATTGTGTGCTTGAGTTAATTTGAAAGTTATTTAAGACATTTGAAGTGATGTTGCATATTTGAATAAAGTGATGAAAAAATGGCAATATCTTTTTATGTAATTGTTGTATAAATACAGACCAACAAGTGTGTGTGTGAGTGTTTGTGCAAATGAGAGAGAGATGTGCGTTTTTGATTTTTATTTTAAATATACTGTGCACAATTTTTGTTGTAAATAAAACAAATCATTAACATTACTTCTTTGCGTATTATGATTTCTAGGCCTAATGTTATATTTACTCATTAATTCATACTTCATTATTGACACTTTTTAAAAAAAATATATCGATCAAGCTTAATGGAATCTCAAATATGTCTGACACAATGGTTTAATACGAATAAGTAGTGTATTCCCGCAACAGCTTGTGGGGGTTAATCCTCCACAATTTTGAAACCTACCACATGATTGTGAAAATGTGGTCAGCACTGCACAAAGGCCACCTTTACTTCCCAGACAAGCTGGTGCCCGACGATCTGAAGCTGAATGACTTTGAAACAGCTGCTGGGGATCGAACCCTAGTTTGTCACAATGACAGTTCAGTGCCTTAATCACTGAGCCATGGTTTAAAACTAATATTGCGATCAATCTTCACGCAATTTCAGTAGTTTTTATATTTCTGAAGATACTGTACTTTATTGAGTTTTCGGTATTAAATTTAATAGTCTAAAATAATAAAAAAACAGTCTGTTTTTTTAAGGTATTGCCCAAAATATTCGCAATTACATCGCAGTCAGAAAATCTGCTAATTTTTTAAAATATTTCCTAAAATATAAAATTTATTTTAAAAAAATTACATTTAAAAAACTATTAAAAATCAGCTATTATAAAGTTAATTGCACAAAAATGTCTTCTTATTTTTTTTTTTAAAAATTATAGATTGGATACAATTACATTTTAATAAATAAAACAATCATGGTGCTTTTTGAGTTGCATATTATTTTATGTCTGGTGTTACTAGACAGAAAAATTATTCTCAAAATTTACCAAGAAAATAAAGACCTGAATATTAATCAAATTTCAAAGTAGAATCTTCTTTTTCGAAAGAATGCCCCATTGCTTATAAAATCAAGTTACAGTTAATGAATGAATTGAGTAGAATCGTAAATACATAGTATATATATTTCAGATTTAGAATTCTCAACTTTCATAACATAATTAAACTTCACCATTCACCGTAGCATATTTTTAGAAATAACATTTCTGCCTCAAAATATAATTAGTCTCTTAAAAACAACTCCTAATTACAATGATACTTTTTATTACGACCCATTAATAATAGATAATTATAAATTAGGTAAATTAATGTCCCATTAGCCTTGTCATGGATAAGTTTTCTAAGGCTTTTTGAAGTAAAATTTTCAAACTCAACCATTCGTTTCAATACGTTGTCCGAACTTAAGTTTTTTTCATTCTCTTATTTAGTTTTTCACACAAGTCATTTTTTAATGTTCCACGATATATGGATGACAGAAGTCTTCATATTACCTGTTGACCACGATTTTCAAAAATTCGTAATTTCGTAAATAATAATAAAAAAAATTGCTTATTATTTGAATATTATGATATAATATTAAGGGGAAATATAGGGTAATGATGAAATACAGAAAATTTATATTGAATTTCCTCATTTTAACGGTATTCAACACCCTATTATATATCATAGTAACCTGTAGGGCCACATTGTGTACCCCCTAATAATTTCAATTTACCTAATCACATGTTTACACTATCACATTTTTATAAAATTTTGCTTTGTAAAAAGTACACTTTATTCTGTAATGAATTTTCTTACTATGCATCTTTAAAAGCCTTGTGAAAGATGAAGTAAAAAAAAATCTAAATTAAGAATCTTAAATTAAGAGTCTTAAATTAATATTTAAGTGAAAAAGAAATAAAACAAAAATTCTATAGAAATCAGACTGATCACTACTGCGAAGAATGGGACAAAAAATCGTCAAAACCAGTTTGATTACCTAAATAAACTGAGCAGTTAAAAACAAGTATCAGAAACCCCTCTCCAAGTTAAATCAAACTGTTTAAAAATTTTATGCCACTTTCCTTACTAGTGATTCAAAACCGCTTTTGTTTTTTCCTCACTTATATATTAATTTACAATCCCTAATGTGTGTATTTTATTTACCTCAGTTATAGTATATATACAGGGTGCGTAGCGTTTTTAAAAAGTGCTTATTTTCGTTTTTTAAAAAGCCTTTAATGGTGCTTTTTTCATTGGGTGTTTTTAAAAAGTGCTTAATTTTTCCTTTACCATGTTCATTTTCGCTACGAATTATGCTATGCTATAAGACACAGTTCACATTCACAGTTCACTATTCAACATTTTCACAATTCATTCAACCCCAGTCTATTTCGGCTTATTGTTAGTCCGTAGCTTATGAAAACGCCATTCGTTTTACCTGCTTCAAAATTTCCTGATTTTTGACAATTGTCAAAAACAATGCCAAAAAGTTTTTCTTTTTGACATGACAGTTAAAACAAGATAAAACCGTCAATTGTCAAAAAATTTCCAACCCTGCCTAATTAATGATATTTTTTTAAAGTGCTTTAAGCACTTTAAAAAAATTATTATGCACTCAAAAATTATACTTTTGAGTGCTTGAAAAGTACTTAAAAGGCGCTTATTTTTTGTTGAAAATTTGGTTATGCACTTTGTAAAAAAAAATAATTTTAAACAATTAATTTTAAATAATTATGCTAGCAATAGAGGGGTAAATAAATAAAACATCCACACCTTTTTTTAGTTGTATTTTCGTAGAATGCAGCAAATATATTGACATTTCTTAAAATAGCTTCCTTATCTAATAATAGAACACCCAGGGGCCATGGTACCTATTTTTGCCAACTCAACAGAGATAATTTAAAACTATATTAGATAAGCTGTGACATATGACACTATTTTCACAGTTAGCAGATAAATTTAAATTATCTGCAATTAATCGTTGGTTTAATTGCAGATAGATAAAAGCACACAATGTTGAAATATAGCAATTTAGTTGTATCTGACATACTACACAGACATTAAGTACTAATTTATATGTATCTACATTTACAAAAAATATATAGTAAATGAATTTGAACGCTTAAAAATCTTATTTAGAATTTTATTTCAGTAATTAAAATAACTTATAGCTATGGGACATCAAAAGTACAAGTCTTTTGAAAACTATTCAAGTTTTATGATACTATAAGTACATTTCTCTCATAGTTTGTTTCTTAACCAATAACATCGTTTCAAACGGAGCATGCGCAATAACGATTTTCCAATCCAGCGGTGTTTGATGTTCCACACTCTTTTTTGGCATTTTCTTAAATAAATAAATATTTAAAAAAACTGACTTAGAGTTCAGGTAATAAATTTCAAAAGAAATAAAAGCCTGCATTATAATTGCGCCCAACTACAACCAAGAGAAAAATCTCCGAGAAAAGAAAGTCGTTAAAGCCCGCTGGATTGTAAATTAGCTGCCCAGTCATGCCGATAGTGCTTTAAAACGCAACGACTGGAGATTCTTGTTAAAAATAAACTTGACCGATTTTTTTTTAATTTTTAAATGGTGCATATCTGAAATGGTTAATTTTTATAGTAACTAAAGTTAATTAATTTCATCAGTTTCTTGAATATAATTGACGTTCAGAGTACAACGAAACAGAAGGTGAATATTTTAAACTTCTCACTGTTTTGTTTATTTATTTTTTATTTCATTAAATTTGTTTTTTTGAAAAATTCGATCTAATGGTGATTACGGAACAACCAGTGTATATTTTATACACATATACTTGAATTTATAATCTTTCTAAATTTGAAGCAAATTTTGGAAAGTTATATATCTATATTTTTTTTTCTGACTAGTTTGTTCAATTCCAATTTTTTTTTTTTTTTAATTCATAATGTTTTGACTCTCTCACGACGACTAACTGCTCCTAATATTATAAATACGTTAAAAGAGCTTCATAAATTAGTAAAATGACATATTTCAGGAATTGGATCACCCTTTCTAAACACCGAAAAACAAATATTGTGTTATTATTAAGCATTCTATTAAGTCGCAAAGAATTAATAATTCTCAAAACTTGGCCAAACCTGATGATTTGCGTGATCAGCTGCTATGAATTATTCAAACACGAGACTGACTTTGATGTAAACGTAACAATACCTTCGTTATCTCGATTCGTGATTAGAAGCTTTATTCTATTTAGGCGAGAACATTTTTAGCTTCATGCAGCCTCAATTCTTAAGTAAAATTTTCTTTTCCAATTAAGTTTGTGTTCTATTTTCGAAGGATAAAATCTTTACTCAAGTTTGTTTGTTCTCGATAAGAATAGACGAAATTAATGGAAGAAATGATCAAAACATAATTGGTGACTATTTTTCATTATTTACGCCAGATGGCGCTATCTAAAACGCCTGTCAAATGTCCTTCACTGCTCATTTCGAAAGTATCGTAAGAAAGCCATGCTAGTAGGGGCGATTGGAAACGCTGCTTTTAAGAAATCGATGTTGAATTCATTATTTTCATTGGAAATAATAAAAATTATCTCTCATCATGGTACCAAGTAAGTGCTACATTTTAAGCAAAATTAAAATGCTCGATTTTTCGAATGAATATTGGGAAACAAATATTTATTTCAGTTGATTCCGTTTGCCAAACAAAATCAAATTCTAACGTGGTTGATAATTGAACGAATACAATTTTAGATATGCGAGGGAGATGAGATCACTATTTATCATTTTTGTATATTAACGATGCACAGATTATTGCATCAAAATTATTCCATAAAAAGATCCTTTTCTTTTTGTATTATAACAGATTTGTTGTCAAAGATAAAGTTTCTGTTTTTATCGTGATATAGTTTCTGATTACATATGAACTTAGTTTTTATTAATTTGTTACTATTACAATTTCCAGCCCAATTTTTTTTCTTCCTTTTTTTTTCTTTCTCTCTTTTTTTTTTAAATCTATGTTAAACGTTTTGTTTACTATAAACACTGGTTAATTTCTTTTCCACTAAAGAAGTTATTTAGGAATTGTACGTCCAAACATCACTTTAAAATTCGAAATAGTTACTGTACATTCATTGTTTGAATTGCAAATGTTGACTGGACACATGTTTGCGTAAAATTTATTTTTAAGAAATGAATAAAACTCATTTACCGTTTAATAATTGAAAAATTGCAGCTAA